GCTCCATCCCAGCTCCATCCCTGCTCCATCCCGGCCCCATCCCAGGCTCCATCCCAGGCTCCATCCTGGCTCCATCCCTGCTCCATCCCGGCTCCATCCCGGCTCCATCCCGGCTCCATCCCGGCTCCTCCCGGGCTCCTGCCCAGCCCCAGGCTGTGGCAGCGGCTCTTGGGGGCAGTCGAGGCTCTGGGGCTGGAGTTTCTGACCCAGCTCTGGGCTTGCAGCACGGCGGGGCCAAGGTGCTGGAGAAGACCTTCGAGGAGTGGCTGCGGTACCGTGACGAGTGCCTGAGGAGGATGGCGAGCGAGCCCTACCCAGCAGGTACCCGGCTGTGCTCGGGGGCACAGAGCCAGGGCTGGGGTTTGTCCCTTCTCCAGCGTCCTCTGCTCCGGTCACCCACGGGGAGTGAGCCCTGGGACTGACTCCACATCTCGGATGGGACACCCAGGGCTGGGATGTCCTGGGGGGCTGAGGCTGCTGTGGGGCACCTGGGTCCCTTTCAGGGTGGCATCAGCCCCCTCAGAGGTGCTGGGACAGCAGGGCTCGGTGTGTCCGTGCCACCAGCGTCTGAGCGCTGGCTTTGCCTGTCGCTGCCCTTGGAAGGGCTGTTCTGTAACAGGACATTTGACATGTACGCCTGCTGGCCCGACGGGAGCCCCGGCACCGCCGTCAACGTCTCCTGCCCCTTCTACCTGCCCTGGTTTGAGAAAGGTGAGGATCCCTCCTGCCATCCCGGGGCTGGAAGCCAGGGCTGAGCCGTTCTGGGGCTGCAGAGGCTCTCAGGGTTCCCCTGGCCTTGCCTGACAGGGGCAGAGGGCCCCATGAATGGATGTGGGGTGAGGGGGTGCCTGGGGCTCGGGGCAGAGGCAGCTCCCTGAGCAGGGTCAGATCCATCATCCCAGGAGAGGGGTTTGGGGGAGCCTGGGGGACTGTGCCGCTGCTCCGTGTCCGCAGTGAAACACGGGCTGGTGAGCCGCAGGTGTGGCACCGACGGCCAGTGGGTGACGGTGAACGGCAGCCAGCCCTGGAGGGACTACTCCCAGTGCGAGGATGAGCCGGAGGTCACTGCCGAGGAGGTGGGACCCTGGCTGGGACCCCAGGGATGGCCGGGGCAGCCTGGCCGGGGGTGGACGTGCACCCACCTGGGCTCCCTGCTGTGCTCACCTGCAGGAAGGCGCCCGCCGGCTCATGGTGAGCTTCAAGGTGCTCTACACCGTGGGCTACTCTCTGTCACTGCTCACCCTCATCTCCGCCCTGCTCGTCCTCACCGTGTGCAGGTAGGACCCGGCCCCTCCCCTGCTCCCTCCCGGCTGGGCCGGCCCTGCCTGACCCCGGCTCCTGCAGGAACCTGCGCTGCACCAGGAATTACATCCACGCCAACCTGTTCGCCTCCTTCGGGCTGCGGGCGACCTCGGTGATGGTGAAGGACGCGCTGCTGGAGCGGCGCTGGGGCGTGGAGCTGCTGCAGGTGGCTGACTGGGAGGCTCTGCTGAGCCACGAGGCAAGTGCTGGGCTGGTGGCAGCGTGGGGACGCTCGCCCAGGAGGGGCCGTGGGGGGGTCGGTGCCCACGCAGCCCCAGACACTCGCTGGGTGAGTTCTTGGGGGCCGGTGGTGCCCGTGCTCCTGATGGGTGAGGTCTTGGGGTACCTGTGCACGGTCCTGGGGTGCCCATCCACACCCTGGCCACGCTTTTGGGGTGCCTGTGCTGCCCGGGACCCAGTGGGTGAACCCCTGGGATACCTGTGCAGCTGCTGGGTGAGCTCTGGGCCTGTGTGGCACCTGAGGGATGAGCCCTCGGTGCCACCCATGCCCCTGCTGGGTGAGCTCTGGGGGTGCCTGTGCAGCCTCTGGGGGAGCTCTCAGTGCACCCGTGGCCCCAGGAGGGAGCTCTCAGGGTTCTTGGGGTGCCTGTATAACACCATACCCCCGTGGATGAGCCCCTGCTCCCTGTGGGAGAGCCGTGGGGTGCCCCATGGGCACAGCCAGCCCCACGGTGGCTCTCCCGTGGCAGGCAGCGCTGGGGTGCCGCGCAGCGCAGGTGCTGATGCAGTACTGCATCCTGGCCAACCACTACTGGTTCCTGGTGGAAGCTGTCTACCTCTACAAGCTGCTCATCGGGGCCGTGTTCTCCGAGAAGAATTACTACAGGCTCTACCTCTACCTGGGCTGGGGTAGGGGCCACCCGGGAGCGCGGCGGGGACGGGGACAGTGCCTGGTGTCGGGGACACTGCGGTCCCAACGGTCCCAGGAGGGTGTGGGGTGGGGGCTCTGCCACCCCGGGTGTCCCCCCCAGCATGGGGGTGCTTTCTCAGCTCAGGAGGGTGCTTGGTTTTACAGGGTTTGCTGTGTGACTTGCAGGGACCCCCGTGGTGTTCGTGGTGCCCTGGATGGCCGCCAAGTACCTGAAGGAGAACGCGGAGTGAGTGAGGATGGAGGGGTGGAGGGAGGGATGGATGGATGATGGATGGATGGATGATGGATGGATGGATGGATGGATGATGGATGGATGGATGATGGATGGATGATGGATGGATGGATGGATGATGGATGATGGATGGATGATGGATGGATGGATGGATGGATGGATGGATGGATGGATGGATGGATGGATGGATGGATGGGGATGGATGGATGGGGATGGATGGATGTGGAACCTACTGGGATGCTCAGAGACTGCAGAAGGTCTCTGAGGCACCTGGCTGGGGCTGGAAAGCTCTTGGACCATCCTGCCCCAGCACAGGGTGATGGTGCTGCTCTTGGTGCCCCCCGGCAGGTGCTGGGCGCTGAACGAGAACATGGCTTACTGGTGGATCATCCGCATCCCCATCCTGCTCGCCTCCCTGGTAGGGAACAGCTGCCAGCCCCGGGACTGTTTGGAGAGCAGGCTGTGATCCCCAGGGAAGCTTCCAGCAGAGGCCAGGAGGGAGAGTTGGCCTGCAAGGACCAGCCAAATGCACAGGGGGCTCAGCAATTTGCTGACCCCCTGGTTCTGGGGGTTCATGGAGGAAGCTGGGGTGCTGAACCCCAGAGAAATGGGCTGGGAGTGGCCCCTGCTGGTTTCTAGCTGGGATTTTGGGATGGCAGGAGGGGAGGAAGGGCAGCAGCAGCCTTGGCAGCACTGGGGGTGCTATCTCCTGCTGGGTGAGTGTCACAGCCAGGGTGGGGGTGCTGGGCTCTGTGTGCCCCTGCCCTGTCTCCCCCTCCCAGATCAACCTGCTCATCTTCATGCGGATCCTCAAGGTGATCCTGGCCAAGCTCCGGGCCAACCAGAAGGGCTACGCCGACTACAAGCTGAGGTGGGCCGGGAGAGGGGCAGGGACAGTCTGGGTTACCGGGATAACGCCACCTCCACACCCCCCAGCCCTCCCCACGCTCTCCTCCACCCTGCACATCCCTAAACACCACACTGGGGTTAACTGGGAGTTTTCCTGTCCCCTTACTCTCCCCCAGGCTGGCCAAAGCCACCCTGACCCTCATTCCCCTCTTCGGGATCCACGAGGTCGTTTTCATCTTCGCCACTGACGAGCAAACCACGGGCATCCTGCGCTACGTCAAGGTGTTCTTCACCCTCTTCCTCAACTCCTTCCAGGTGAGGTGGCAGTGAAAGCAGTCCTTGCTCCGGGCACACCACAGAGCAAAGATCAGGGGGGTCCCTCTCAGTTTGCTCTCCCTGTGGTGCTTCCATGGGAAGGGCGGCACCTCCCGGGCTCCCTGAGGCAGCGCTGCCATGGGGACCTCAGCCCTAAAAGCGCCCAGAAGTGACCTGGGGGGAGCCTAAGCCCATCCTGACCCCAGGAGAGGGACAGCGGGGTGGGCTCACTCCTGGCTGTCCCTGCAGGGCTTCCTGGTGGCTGTGCTGTACTGCTTTGCCAACAAAGAGGTAACGTCCCTGTCCCTGTCCTTGTCCCTGTCCCCCACCTCCTGCCCAGCGTCCCCACACCACGCTGTGCCTGCAGGAGGGCACAGCCAGGGATCAGCCCCTGCTCCCTCCCCTCCGTGGCAGGTGAAGTCTGAGATGAAGAAGAAGTGGCAGCTCTGGAAGCTCGACCACCCGGTGCTCTGCTGTGCCCAGTGAGGGGTGACCGGCCGGGGCACAGGGGCTGCTGGCCACAGTGGCCACAGCAGGGCCTGGCTGGAGGGCAGGAGGCTGCAGGAGGCTGTGCTGGGCAGTGCCCACCTGGGATGGCCAGGCTGGAGCTGCTGGAAGGGACATCCCTGCTGTGACCCGAGTGAGGTGGCACCCCTGGGCTCCTGCCAGGCGTCACTGTCCCCTCAGCAGGGCCTCACTGGGGCTGTGTGGGCAGCGCCTGCTGCCTTCTCCCGCTGCCTGAGCCCCAGCAGAACCCAGCAGCCTCCCCCAGGACACCAGGGACCACCACACCCACCTGGGCACCTGTGGGACCGCAGCAGCCGGGGGGAGCCCGATCCTCAGCAGTGGGAATGGGAGATGCTCCCCAAACCCTGGGTCATACCACAGCCAGGGCTTCCCTGTCCTCCCGTGTCCGAGCCCAGGACCATCTCACCAGCTCCCAGCCAGCCACCCTGCACAGCTCTTCATGGCAAGGGGCTGCTCCTGCACCTCCTCCCCACCCTCATCACCCATCCATCCTCGCTGCTCTCCAGCTGCACAAACCCCCCGGTGCCCCTCACCATGGGCACAGCCAAGGATGGAGCCCCAAAATCACTCGGGAGTGAAGGATTTGAGAGCAGCAGCTCACTGGGGCACAACCTCCCCCACGGCAGGTTCAGCATCCAGCCCAGCCTGCTCCTGATTTGTGGAGGGAATGCTGGATTTCCAGGCCTGGCAGGAGCTCAGGAACCATTTTGCTGGTCAAAGGTTGAAATCCTGGGAGTTGGCTTTGCAGTGGGGTGCCACAGCATCAGCCCCCCCCAGCCAGGCAGCCCGTGGCTCCCAGGAGGAAGGGAAGCAGCTGAGGCGGTGTGGTTTGAGCAGAGCTGCTGTGCTCTCAGAGCAGCTGCAGACACCCCCAGCCCCTCGCTCTGACCCGCAGGAGCAGCACAGACACGCTGCCACAGCTTGTCCCACCACATTCCTGCCTTTACCATGCACAAGTCCCCTCCAGGCCAAAGGAAGCAGCTGGGATGCTCCAGGAGAGGCCCATGGACACAGGAGGCTCTCCAGGTCCTGCCCCTGCCCGGGTGGGCTGGGGGAGCCTCTCCCAGAGCCTCTTGGAGGGGCTGCCTCGAGCACACAAAGCAAAGAGGCTGCACCAGGCTGTAATCACACAAGAATGGGCCTGGATCGATGGGGAAGCCCCATGAGACCATTTTACACATTAACTCTCTTTTCAGATGTAAATAAATATTTATTTTTCAGCAAGCAGAGCCTGCTGCTTCTGTCTGCTCCAGGGGAGGGAAAGGGCTGCTGTGCACAGACAGCTGAAGCTCAGAAAGGACTGGGGTGGAAAGAACCTTAAACACCATCCCAATTCCAGCCCCTGCCATGGGCAGGGACACCTCCCACCATCCCAGGCTGCTCCAGGCCCCATCCAGCCTGGCTTTGGACACTTGCAGGGATCCAGGGGCAGCCACAGCTTCTCTGGGCACCCTGTGCCAGAGCCTGCCCACCCTCCCAGGGAACAATTCCTTCCCAATATCCCATCCATCCCTGCCCTCCAGCAGTGGGAAGCCATTCCCTGTGTCCTGTCCCTCCATGCCTTGTCCCAAGTCCCTCTGCAGCTCTCCTGGAGCCCCTTTAGGCCCTGCAAGGGGCTCTGAGGTGTCCCTGGAGCCTTCTCCTCTCCAGGTGAACACAGGAGCCAGCTCTCTGAGCCTGGTTCCAGCCCTTGGAGCATCTCTGTGGCTTCCTCTGGCCTCACGCCCGCAGCTCCCCCTGGATCCCCCCATTCCCCACGCAGGCAGTGCTGGGTGGCAGGGATCAGGCACTGCAAGCTCCTGGCAGAGGAGGCTGGAAAGCCAAGTGTGGACTCCTACTTGTCCTGCAAGAACTCAGGGAAGGTGCTCACGCTGCCCCAGCTCCCTCCAGAGAAACCCACACACCACACACAGCATTCTCAGCTTTTATTCATGGATCCAAGTCAGCAGATGCTATTTTCCTTTGGACAGCTCACCTTAGGGTAGCACCAGACTCCTGCTGCCTGCACAGCCACCCTGGCTGCTGCTTCACATCCTGCAGTTAAGGAATTGCCTCCTCAGGGATACTCTGTTGTACAGGACCCGCCTCGCTCCTGGCCCCACGTGTGCTCTCACCTCCCTTAAGCCTTTACACCAGAGCTCCTGCAGCAGCTGTTTGGGGCCTTTTTCCTTCACAGACACACTGGCACATCTCCCTCATGCCAGGCAGTCTAAGCTATTGGATAGATCCTCTAAATCCTTCATTCCAGCCTCAGACTTAGCAAAGCCAGCCTGTAGTCACCTTCCAGCCACTGTTCTGAGGGCAATGCTGAGCCAGGGCTTCCTTGGCTCTCCAGGTGCCCCCAGGCCCTTTCCCTTCGCATTTTTTGCAGGGGGCTTTGCCTTAAATTCAAGGTAAACAGCACTAACAACCCCAGATTAATGCAGCCAGAGGCACCACCAAGGCTAAGGAGAGACCTTGGCACTCCCCATCCTTCCTCCAGTGCCAGGGAATGAGGGCCAAAGCCCTGAACACTCTGCCCAGCACAGCCTCAGCCCTCTGAGGATTTCCAGAGGTGCTGGATGAAGAGAATTCCCTCCACCTCATCCAAACTCTTCAGGGTGAAGTGGAAGAAGGCACAAGGTCACAGCTGAGAGGGCCATACCTGCCTGGCACAGACACCCCAAGCAGACCACTTGTCATCCCTGGCTCAAGGGACTCAGGCCTCATCAGAAGGTTGAGCAGCTGAAAAGATGAAGCTGGATAGGTTGTCATATTTGGGATCTGTACCCAAGGTCCAAAACCTAGAAGGAACACACAGTTCCATCCTCTCCCCAAAGGGACTCATCCTGATTCATCAAGGCCATCACTCAGATTTTGATTGTTGTGTTTTTGCCCCTTACAGGATTCAGGAATAAATGGGAACAGAGTCACTGGAAAATGCTTCAGACCAAGGTCCCTGGCACCAGACCCCTCACCCAATCCCAGGGGCATGGCAGCCTCTTCCTGCACTGTCTGTCCTTGGCAATGCCCACCCACGAATGCCCTGGCAGAACTATTTCCCAACACTAAAGCCTGTAAATCACAGGCAGCAGCAGTGAGGAGCAAAGCTTGGCACCACAGCTCTGGGCTGTGGCTCCTTTGCCCACCTCCCATGGGGCACAGAGCTATCCCTCCTGCCATAAAGCACTGACCAGAAAGCCAAGTTCTTGGGGATGTCCTGGTTCTGGCCAGGACAGGGTTCATTTCTGCAGGCCCAGCCCCGCTCCTGTACACTTTTGTTATTACTGTTCCTTATCTCATTGCTGTTTCCAGTAAATGCTTTTATTTCCACCAGTGATCTTCACCTTTTGTGCTTCCAGTTCTCTTCCCCAGCCCACCCCAGGGGAGGGGAGGAAGGGGAATGGGTGAGTAGGGAGTGTTTCAGTGAATGCCATTCCTTACCCACCACCGTGATCACACCTGGCCCCTGAGCACAGCAAAACCCAAAGTGAACCGAGTGGGCTGGTTGGAGGAACAGGCTTTGAAGCCCAGATCTGGGGTGGCAATAGAGCAGACATTCTAACTAGGAACAGGACTGCACTTTGAGCTCCACTGCAGCTCAAAGAGCCAGACATCACAAACTCCACTCCTTTCACCCCTCTGCAACAAATTGCCTTTTTATGGCCTCAGACCCATTCTCTGAGCCAATCCCCATGCCACAGGAGCCAGGCACATGTTTTAGAGGCTCTGGGGAGCTTGGGATGCAGAAAAGGAAAATTAATTGACTGCTGTGTGCAACTGCCACCTTTCTACCACCACCCAGACCTGAACAACAAGGGCTGCAGGAAACGTAAAGCAGATAAAACTTCCAGGCTTGGAGCTTCTCCTCCAAACCTAAACCTTTCAAACAAAAATCCTGGGAGCCTTGAGTCAGGCCCCAGGAGTGCTGATTGTTGTCCTCTGCTGTCCCTCGTGCTCCCAGCTGTGTTTTCTGGAGCCTCTGAGCCCCGGCAGTTGCAGTGGCCCTCGGCAGAGCCGTGGTGCTGCCGGCACGGGCCCCGTGCTCCCTCTCCCAGGCACACTCAGCTTCCGGGTGGAACAGTCACCCGACGTCGGTATTCCTGCACCACCAGGAGAAAGGGGACAGTCACCCTCTGCTGGGACTAAGGGCAAGGGGGCTACACATTTTCCAAAGGGAGAACCAAAGAGAGGGCACTCAAGGATGAGTCAGAGCCCAGCCCTGGTGTGTGGGCTCTGAGCACACGGCACTGAGGGATGGTGGCCCCTCGGTGCCCCAGCCTGGGACTGGGCAGGGCAGTTGTTCCCACTCACCCTCCTGGCTTGGTTATGGCTTTGGCCAGCTCTGCCCACTCTGCCCCAGAGCTTGGAGCCTTTGGAGGTTTTGAGTCACAGTCTGCAGAGCTTTTCCTGAGGACAAGCCAAAGGGAAAAAGCAGCATTAGGAAGGGGCCAGGAAGCAGGAAAGAACAGGCTGCACTCAGCCTCTGCTGTGCTGCCTTCCTGCTCTGAAAACAGGGGTGTCTCTGCTGTCTGCAAGCTGCTGGGACAATTTCCTGTCACCAGGAGAACAGGATAGTTCCCCAGCAGCTTTCACCACTGAGCAGGAGATGCAGGGACCACCCCCCACCCCAGACCTGTCACCAGGGGATGATGCAGAGCCCAAGATCAGCAAGAACAGCACCAACTCCAGAGCCTGGAGACTTCCCTGAAGGAGCAGGGATTGTCCCAACACCCACTCCCAACCACGCCTCCCACAGCACAACAGTCCCTCCCTCCACATGCCCAGAGTCCTTCCCACCTTACCCATCTCTCCCACACACTTCTCCAGCACAGCTGACAGCTCAGGCAAGCTCAAGGACTTCAGGGAAGGCGGCCACCCTTCCAGCACTGCAAGGACAGGGACACAGTTAATCCATCTGCAGCTCTCTGGGACAGAGCACACAAGGGGCTGGTGTTGCTGGAAGCATCCCCAGCCAAAGGGATTCCAGTTAGGGGTTCTGAATCACATAGGAAGAGAGCTGGAGCTGCCTGTGCCAAACTGAGGAGTTTTCTGACAATTCTACCTCTTAGGAATTTATGTTTTAAGACTGGCTGGGTTTTTTATTAAGAGACTTCCAAAGAGATTAAGTGTAGTGGACAGAAATCAACAGGATCTCTACTTGTCTCACTTCTAAGACACAGGCAGCAAAGAACAGGTCACTAGGAACATGTCACAGGCAGCAAGATGAGAGAATCCCAGAATCATGGAACAGTTTGGGTTGGAAAGGACCTTAAAGCCCATCCCATTCCACCCCCTGCCATGGACAGGGACACCTTCCACTAGACCTGGTTGCTCCAAGTTCCCTTCACCCTGGCCTTGAGCACTTTCAGGGAACATTTACCAATTGCTAGGGATAAGGAGCTGCTGGGTCAGCCCAGGCACAGAGGTTTGTCCCATGGATCCAACAGCAAAATCCCCAAAAACTAGATTAGGGAACCAACCACATCTCCTGGTTCAGACCCTGCTCCAGTGCACAGGGTGGTAACAAACCTGAGGTGCAGCCACAGGTCCCTGAAGCAGGGCTGTCACTGGGGCCTGTGCTGGCATTTTTAGCCACAAACACCTGCCAGACCCCAAAAGTTGCTGAAAAACTCTGCAAGTTCCAATCCCAGATGCCCTGAGAGCTTTACATGCTTCTCCCTGAGCAAGAATTAAACTCACTCAAAGAGTTTGGCTGCTCATCCATTCCCAACTGTCTGACTTTCAGCAAGGAAAGACAAGCAGGAGGTTTGTCCCAGGCTCTCCTCTGCAGCTGCTCCTCACCTGGGCGCTCCCCGGGCCGCTGGCTCTCCCCGGTGCCGTGCTGCTCCTGCGTGCCCGGCGCTCCATCGCCCGCCGGGGCCAGCCGGGAGGACAGCTCTGCCTGGCAGCTCCTGCCAAACCACACCAAAGCCATCAGCAGCACACAGGGACACGCTGGGAGTGACACTGCACACAGCCTGCAGTACCTGTGTGGGGTGACCCTGGGGTACAGCCTGCTCCTTGCTGCTTCCCAGACAGAGGAAGTGGTGCCGCAGCCCGAGCTCGGGGCGCTGGCACTGCTCAGCTCCCAGCCATTGCTCCCCATCTGCAGCCAGCTCTGCCCTGTTCACAGAGGAGCTGTGGGGGGACAAGACAAGGAGGGGCTGGGGTGAGCAGCAGGAAGCCCAAGCCAAGGGCTATGCCTGGTCTGTGTGAGAATCAGCTCAAATCCAAGCCTGCTTTGAAGGTAGAAGCATTAGCAGGTTTCTAATGGGCAAAGGAAAAGACCTCAGGACAGGCATGAGGGGCACCCAGGTTCTCAGGCTGTCATCACCATCCACCAATTCAAGCAGTGTATGTTCAGCGCAAGGCAGGGCCCTTCTACAGCAGCCTCAGCTCCTCAGGCAGAGGGAAAAGCCAGGCTCTGCCCCTTGCAGTGGGAATATTGCTCTGCTGAGCTTCTCAATGCAACTTCAGCTCACCCTGGCTTGGCAGCAAGCAGACCCCCATTCCCTTGGGTTAGGATCCACAAGCAGCAGTATTTATGCCACTTGCAGGGATGTCCCTGTTGTATCACTGAACAGAACAAGACCCATGACAGGAGTTCAACTGGGGCACAGAGAAAAACACCACAAAGGCAGTAAAAGGAGTGCCAGGAGGTGGGACAGGGCACATTACTCTGCCAGTTGTCACAGAGTGGCAAGAAAAGTATTCTTCACTTGAGAGTCACTGCACATCCTTTGATGGGGTATGGGTTAAAAACTCCTTTCTGTATTCACCTGACCACCAGTTTTACCCTTGGCACTGGGTAAGCACAGCCTCAGCCTTTTGGTTGCTTCTAGTTGAAACAGGAGCACCCCAGCACCCCCAAAAAGGCCACTTCCAGCTCATCCATCTGACCAAAGCTTCACATGTGCTCCCAGGGCTGTGGCTTTCCACCAGGGAGTCAGGCAGGATCTAAATGTGTTCAGGTGCCAGGTGAGCTCCGCTGCCTCATGCTGAGCATTACCTGTAAGGCTGCCAATATGACCCCAAATCCCATTTCCCAGCAGTCTCAGTGGGAATGACTTACTTGATCTGATCCAGCAGGACTCCAGCATCCTTGGTGATGGCCTGAGCCTCTCTGAGCCGGCACTGGATGGTATTCCAGGTCTCATCCCGCTCCATCAAACAGCTCTCAGCCACTGCACGCAGCTTCTGCTCCTGGCACACCTGGCCCTTCATCACCTGCACCTCTTGACATCTCTGCAGCAGAGCACACTGGGGATCAGGCTGGGAGCATTGAACATCTCACACCTGCTGCTCTTGAGTTTCTGCTATTTTAATGCCTTAGGCAGCCCAGCCAGAATGTTCCTTTGCAGTGGGAAAGGAAGTTGGATGAAGCTTGTACACTGAGTGCAGGTTCTCTCCACACTGAGCCCAGCTGCAGTTACAATACCCCCTTCCTCTCTGTTTACAAAGTTATTCATGAGTCCAGATCTCCCAAACCGACACAAGCCTTTTCACTGATGGCTGCACAATAAAAATGACACTGCTGGGAAAGAGTAGGGATTTGATTCCTGCCCCTGGCTCCTGTAGTTCTCAGCTGGATGGGAAGCAGACACAAAGGAGCCCAAAGGATGAGGAGTGGGTAAGCTGCACTTGTGGTGTACTTGACACCAAGCACATCCACTACAAGTCATGGCTTGACGTGAAGGAAAAACATCAGTGACACAACAAAAACACAGCATTGATCACTTCCTGCAGGGTGCAGGGCCCTGAGGAGCTCACAGCAGCCTCACCTTGTGCAGCTGGATGGCCAATTCCTGCATCTCTGCCTCCAGCCGATCGGCATAGGCCAACTCCAGCGCGTCGCTGGGCGGGCGGGCGCTGCTGTGCCAGCGCGCGATGGCCGAGGTCATCTTCCTCTTGGGGCCAAACAGCCTGGGGGGATGGAACCAACAGGGGTCAAGCCCTGCACAAGCTGTCCCTCAGCCCAGCAGCACACTGTGAGGACCTCTGCAGTGCCCTGGTCTCTCCAAGGTACCTCCAGAAGCAGGAGTGTGTTACAGCCAAGGACATGGGGATGTTAAGTTGTGTGGGAGGCAGCCAGAAGAGAGCAGCACTCCCCAGCTAAACCCTCCTGACCAGACTGAACATGGTCTGTAGGGGAAAGCTGGGAAGGACAGGGCAGACACTCACGTGATGCCTATTTCCTTCAGGTCACTCTCTGTGAGGGTCAGGAAGATCCGGAGGTCCACGTCTTGCTCCTCAAACACCTGCAGGTACTTCAGGCACCCAATCTCCTCAAGGAACGTTGCCAGGTCCTGCAGCCCAGACAAAACAAACTTATTAACACCCTCACAACAAAAGCATCACTGTTCCTACTAACCATAAATATCTGCTTCCTCATGCTGTTGTAACACCTTTCTGGGTTCCAGCAGCAACCACAGCTTCCCGTGGTTCCCTGCTCTTCTCCAGAGTCACACACCAGGACTGGCCTCTGCTGCAGCCTCTTCTAACAAGTGCAGAGCAGAATGACACAGAACCAGCTCCCCCATCCCACTGCCAGGTTTGTTAGCCCATTCACAGGCCTGAAACCCCTGCAAGCAACAGCAACATCTCAGCAAACACCTCCTCTGCAAGAAATTGCTGTTTTACAAGTGTTTCTGGGAAGAGGTTTGCAATCCAAGGTGTTCTGGTGACTTTGGAAAAGCCTCCCACACCTGGTACAGAGAGAGGGCATGCAGGACAAGTCTGTGGTTACCTTGGGCCCTGTGTAGGCTGGGGGCTTAGGAAGGACCAGGTGCTGGCTGCAGCCCCCAGCCCTCCCCAGGCAGTGGCTCCACTGGCTGTCACTGTTGCTGTAGCGGGTCTTGATCTTAAAGCTCTTGGCTTGTTTCCGACTTGGGGGGCTGTTGGTGTGGTCAGAGTCCTGGAAAACAAAAAAAAAAACCCTCACAGAATGAATGACTGCAGAGATGTCAGGATCAGGGGGGCTAACAAGTGCAAACTCCTCTAAGACCTAAAGGCCCTTTTGTACTGTAGTCCCAGAGCTGCCTTGACCCACGTGAGCTGTGAGCAACCTCCAATCTCTTCCCCTTCCTCGGTTTTCCTGGCCCTGGAACAGCCTTTCCTCACCCAGCCTGGTCCTACAGGCTCCCACGGGAGTGGAGTCACCCAAGAGTGAAAGCACTGCTCAATCTGAAGGCAGAGAAAGGAAAATCCACCTCATTGCTTTCCAAGGAGCCTTCACTGCTGACTCCTGGGATTTTAAACAGGTATTCACTGCTGCTGCTGCTGTCGCTCCTGAGGGTTCCCAAGCTGCTGCTGGACAAAGCACTATCCTCTGGAAAGAACAGGGAAAAAAACATTGAAGCACAACTTCGTTACATTCTGGTTTTGTTACACAATTACC